TTATAAGGCAGTGATTAGAGTAACTGATTTTGTTTCAAAATTGCACATTATATGAAGAAACAAAATTAGAGTACATAAAATCTGTAATTATTGTTCCTTTAGTAGTATTATTAGTTCTCTAACTTTCTGTTCCATTATTTGAATTTTTAAATAGAATCTTATTTAAAATCAAATGTCTTTACTACAAAATTTATATATTTTACTACTTAGGCTAAAAAATATGTACATACATGCGTTCTTTTATAACAAAGAAATAATAAAAAAAATTGAAACAGGCAAATTCCTACTAACTTCTTACAGGACTGATATCAGTTTATTTTCATTTCATAGGTTTCCATAATAAACTTATCTAAAGCATATTATTACTACTAGTACTATCATAATTATAGAACATTTGCACATAACTAGTAGGGCTGAGAACAGACTAAATGGCCTATTATTATGCTATGAATAAAATTTATTCATAAGATAATTAAAGAAATGCTATGGGTCACTCTTCACGACAATAAGGCCTATGTACCTGCCCATATTACTTGGCCTCACTGAAATTCATTATGTTAACTATCAACTGAAATATGCCACTTTGAGTGCTTCCTGTATGCTAATGTATCAGTCACTTGGATGCAATTAACAGTAAGTACACCTGCTTAGATAGGTTCTCATCCAAATAGAATTTGATCTAAGGAAAAGGGGGTACAACTCCTCCTGGTGGCTAAAAATATTTTACACAATTTTCAATGACTATTAAAATTTTTGCTAAGTTTGTGTGACTACATTCAGACTAAGTTACCTATTTTTATATGAGTAAATCTTTGACTCAATGTCCACGGTAGTTTTCTCAACATAATTTGTATCAATATAAAGATGACAAAAAGAAGCCTATTTTCATCTATAGGACAGGTATTACTGAGAGCTGATGTGAGCATCCTATCCAGGAACATGTTTAGCTCAAGGGACCAAGCACTACTTCAGACACTTAAATAACAGCATAAACAAACTGAGAAATCAAACACCAAACTTCACTACAAAACACAGGCACATGCTAGGTTACTGCTCTCCTTTATAAGACAGTCCACAGTGAAAGGAACACACAGTGATAATCACACAGTGATAATCCAAGGCGACAAACCGAATTAAACTCTTACAAATCAAGCATATCCAATATTATGCAGACCAACAAGAAGCTGGCAAAATATTTTAAGAAAGCAAATTACTGTTTTGTCATCAGTTTATTTACAAGAACATTCTCTAAGAAGTGGTTTTGTTTACTTTTCTGGAACAACTTTATGGGAAAAGCCTGTTAATGAAATTAAGTATGTCTAAATTTCTAAAGTATCAGAATTGATCCTCTATATATAAGTTTCAATCTTCAAGTTCAAAATGTTTGTGTTTTCAGCTCAGCACTAAATTTACATGAACAAGCAGATAAATACGTTAAACATAGGGACTGGAGGGGACTCAGCAGCTAAGAGCACCTGATGCTCTTCCAAGGACCCAGGTTTGATTCTCAGTACCCACATGCTAGCTCACGCTATCTACCACTCCAGTCCTAGGAGTTCCAACCACCTCTTCTGGCCTCCACGCACTAGGGATACACATGTACAGACATATATGAAAGCAAAACTCATACACATAAAAATGAACAAATAAATTAAAACTTAGTTATTTTACTTAAAAATAGCAAAAACTTTTTATATTGATTTGAAGCTCAGTGAGACGTCAATTCAAAACAGATCTGTTCACCCTCAGCATCTTAGGTTCATTCCGATGCCTCTAACTACGCTAATCAATATGGAGACACAGACTTCTGTTCACTCTAATGACAGGCTCAAGTGTACTCCATACTGCATTAACTGGCAAAGCTGTACTCTTCTCTGTGGTATTTATGTACTACACTTGCTGGTCTGTTACTTAAAAATCAAACAGAATTATTGAGACAAACTATAGTTAGGGTGGAGATATGATAGACATATGATTGAGATAGAGATATGATTGGGAGATAGATGCTCCCAATATTTGTTAATGCATTTGACAAACATTTCTTGAATGCTTGTTCTTTGATTTTTACTGTCTTACTCTAGAAATTTTGGAAGGGTAACTTTTTTTTTGTCTAGTGACATTTCGGCGGCATCTGAGGAACCTAACAGCTTCCTATAACAAGCCTAACTTTCAATAACCAAAAAAAAAATCAATTCAATATCTTACTCAATATTCTCATTCTGAATAGGGCTCAAATTTCACAGGCTAGCTAACAAGTCTCGATGAAAAGCTTCTTTAGCTTATCTACTAGCTTCTTAGATGTTTTCCTCAAATGATCAATACTTCACCAACTTCTGCACTCTTCAGAGATCCATGGTTCTACCTCTTCTGCCCTTCCAATTTTGGACATAACTGTTGCATCCCATACACAAGTTTTCTGCTTAAGCTAAGTAGTGCCAGGAATGCAGCTCAGTTGGTAGACTCCTTGCCTCCCACATACAAGGTCCAAGGTTTAATCCCTAATAATACCACTATAGCAAGAAATTAAGTATCAATACATGCTACAACATGAATGAGCCTTGAAAACATTATGCTAAGTAAGAGAAATCAGTTACAAAAGATCATAAACTGTAGGACTCATTTATACAAAATGCCTGGTACAGGCAATCCTACTGAGATGGCAACAAGATTCCTGGCTGCTTAGAGACAGTAACAGGGTAGCAATAATACGTAAGAATATAAAACTTTTTGAAGTGATGAAAAAACTGTAAAGTTGACTCTAGTGGTGGGTATGCAGACCTGTGATTGTACTAAAAATCATCATTTCATATGTTTCAGCAGGTGACAGTAATAGTGTATGAATTGCATATTGTTTTTAATTTTTTTTTTCTCCCATGAGCTGGCATGATGGTTCAATTTGACATAAGTTTACATCATATCAAGAGGGAAGCTCAATTGAGAAAATGCCTCCATTAGATTGATCTGTAAGGCATTTTCTTGATTGATGATTGGTTTGTGAGGTCGTCGTCACTGTGGGTAGTGCCATCCCTGGGCATGAAGGTGTGTAAGAGAGCAGGCTGAGCAAATCAGGAGAAAGCCAGTAAGCAGTATTCTTCCATGGTTCTGCTTCAGTTCCTACCTTGAATTCTTGCCCTGACTTCCCTCAATGATAAACTATGATTGAAACATGTAAGATAAATAAATCCTTTCCTCCCCAAGCTGCTTTTGGTCACAGTGCTCTACTGCAGCAAAAGAAACCTAAATAACACAGCAGATAAAAAACACTTGCTGCCAAATCTGTCGACCAGAGTTCAATCTCTAAGACCCACATAGTGAAAAGAAAGAACCAACCATCCAAAGTTGTTCTCTGATCTCCACACACGCCCTACGGCACAACAGCACCTGGACATATATACACGCACATGTATATACACACATGAATAAATAAATAGGAGATATATATATACATCTCCCAACTATATCAGTTTACTTAATGTATCATAAGCCATACTCATCCACACCTGGTGTTAATTCTTGATCAGATTTCCAATAACCATCTTTCATTACTTCACAATAACTGATAAGAATCAAATTTCAAATCTTTTCCTATAAAAAGAATATTTAACGTAGTATGTGATTTTTAACCGTTTCAGTGTAAAACTGTGCTACCACATTTATTAATTTCTTCACTTCTTTTTCTTGTCATTAATGAAGTCTCCAATCATTATGATTCTAATTCCATCTTTTCCCATACTGCCTAATTTTTACAAAGTACAGTAAGTTTTAGAACACACAGGTCCAGTGACAGACGAACTATAGAACCAAGTTACATTGTGTCCCCTAAATATATAACTTTGACACAAAATTTAAAGCTGGCTAAATCACTAATCTAGATAAGCCATTAAAAGTTTCAGCCAGTTTCCATATTTAAAATTTTCAAACTAAAATAAACTAATTCCATTGGAGATACTATGCTAACACTGTGGGGAGGGGTGGATATTCAGTTGTTATGATTTTTATCCTAGAAACCTTATACTCATAAAGACAGCAGTTCCAGAAAAAATAAAAATAAAACACAGCAAGACCAAAGCTATACCTACATATAAAAAATAACCAACACTCATTCCCAAAGAAAACTGTAACTTACAGAGACAGGCTACCCAGAACCCATCCTCTGCTCTCCTTGAGCGGCTGATTTCCAAGTCACACAAACCACAAGCTGACTTCAGTTTCTGTGCCCCTCCAGCACCCCGCAGAAGCATCCTCCCACCTTTGGGACTTCTGGTGCAATCCAAAGCAGACCAATCCCCTTGTGCAGCCCTGTTCTCTCTCCCCTCTACTCCTACAGCACTGATTGTGGATTTACGCACTTCAGCCATTTAGCTGCTCTTTCCATTCTTAGCCGTAAAACACACTGCCCTTCCCCTTTGGTGTAATCTGAGCATTCTAGAGCCCTCACAGAGCCAGCGTAATGTGGAACACAGAGTAAATGCTCAAGAAGTTTTACTGGGTTATAAATAGGACAAACTGTGAAAACTAACTTGCCTGGTTTCTTAGTTAAAAATTAACCATTTTTAGTATCTATCATCTCAGTGGCTTTAAGGAAGCGAAAACTTTAACTCGGATATGCTGAAAACGTGTGCATGGTGGCTACATGAATGACATGTGATGAAGCTTGCACTCTCAGCTTTACCATAAAAAGACCACACAAGAGACGGCTAGACAAAACATTTCTAGATTATGAACTTCATTTCTACATTATGAAATGCACAGAAGCAATTACACTTGTAGTACTCTGTCTCGCTAATGTGGAGGCAGGAGCTGTAGTTCTCTGTCTGGAGTTCTCTCAAACTGTCTACCTTCAATCTCCGTTCTCCAAGAGCACTGCCCCTTATGACATCTCGGAGAGGCAGACAAATGCCTCGAAACACTCACAGGATGAGCACACCAACACGAACAGGAGAGACTCCTGTAGTTCTTTGGAATTACTATTGTCACTAAAAGAGAAATGCTCAACTTACCCATTTCTACTGAAAACTCTCAGCCATGCTTTGAGGTTTGGTCCTAGCAAACACAAACAAGGTACTGTAGTAAAAGTAGACAAAATAACTGCAAATAAAAATGTTTCCAACACCAACCTAGGATGAAAAAGAAAACCTGTTAACCTTTCAAAAATGTTAGAGGTCCATGTATTCACAAGTATCTATCATCGTTGTAAGAGCATTTATTATTCAAGAATCTTCTTATACTTTGAAAAACCACCTGAGACCCACTAAATAAGACTAAATCGTTCTACTAGCTGCAAAGACATCCTAGAAATTACCTGGCTTTAATCACAAATTTCAAAAATGTTAAAAATCTGAAGATTCAGACTGAGGCCCTCTTACGAACGAAACAATCAAAAAAGCTCAGTTCTAGATAATTAGCTTTCTTCCTCAACAACCTCCACAATTTCTAAAGTTGAACTGCTTTTTTGTTTTTTAACATTAAGAGACTAGACTAACGATCAGCAAGTTTTACCTCAAGAGTTTATGTCTAGAGCCTAACAATTTGCATTTTGATAAAATCTTGAACTATGGAACGCATTGTCTATTACTGATTCTCTTAAGATAGATTACACAGACACCATTTTCCATGACAAAAAAACTTTCCTGCCCTGCATGAAATAAAATAATCTGTTAGTCTATTGTGTATATACAACTATGTGTGTATCTGTAACTGTAGCTTTATGTGTGCATGTCTAACCACACATTTCACCATAATCATTTAATCACTGCTAAAATGAAATGTCTCATATAAAAAATATTTGTGAATTTAGTTTCCACTAATTTGAAACTGGCCAATTTTAAAGACTTAAATTTTAATATAAACATTGATATCTGATAAAGCAATGTCCCTTAAGAAAATAAATTCAGTTACTCTAGAATCATATTTGAGTCACTGAAATACTATTTATAACCAATATATACATATCACAATAGTGAGTTGCCTGCATACATCAACGCATGTCCAGCCTGTGGCCCTCATCCAAGGATAGCTGTGAATGCATCCCAAATTATAAACTTACAAAATTGCCAGATTTTGGTAATATGATCACAAGGTCCTTAAATACAACTTTGTAGATGACCACATCATATTGTAATGTCAAAAGGCTGGATACCTGGAGGTTTTTCACAGCCACACACTAATTACTATAGTGTGTGTGTGTGTGTGTGTGTGTGTATGGTGTTTACAATGTACAGTTGAGTATTAGAAAGCTAATAACAGAAATATATGTAGAATTAAGTTGTCTCGATGTTTTTAATATAACAGTACTAATAATAGGACAATGATAGTTTTTTTCTACCCTGATCCATTAATCAAACCAAACTGTGACTCTACTATAGTTGCTAGGAGTTAGCAGATCATTTAGTAAATTAATACATGAAAACAAAAAGTAAATATTCAGAACTCACTCTATTAGCGGTGCTCCATATAGAACAAAAATGATATGAAGGAAAAAACAAGACAGAAGAAAGTAGATGCAGCATTTCAAAACCCTGGTTACCTAAGAGAGAAAGGAATACACTGAAGACTCAAGACCCACTTAAAAAGCTTCAATTCTACCATTTAACACACAAGTACATGCTGTTCCCACTGTGTCTGAAACAGCTGAATCACGTCTTACCACATACACAGTCCTCAAAAAAAACTACAGAAAACTTAAAAGACAGAGCCAGCAAAATGGTTCAGCAGGTGAAGGCACTTGCCTCCAAGCCTGATAACCAGAGTTCAATCTTTGGGATCCACACTATCAAAGTAGAGAACTACTCTCTAACCTCAATATGAAAACTGTGTTGCATGTACACATGTATACACACACACACACACACACTAAAATATTTTTTAAATTTAAAAGACAAATATCACACAAATATACTCTACACTACAAAAGCCAAAACTGATTTCTGTTTATGTGGTGTGATTACAATATTATTAATAAAGAAATAGTGAGAATTGAGTGTCAGGATATAAAACCCACAGTGACCCCCACATGAATTGTCTACTAAAAATAATGAGTACTATATTTTTCTTTCATTTTAAAGCAAAACTGGAGAAATTACATCAAAAAATCAAAATACTAATTTCCAAAATCATATTCATATTGCTGTATAAATAATATTTTTAAAGGCTTGAACAACTACAAATAGGTCCATGTCTGGAACACACTTGATCTGAAACTCAAGAAGATATAATTATAAAACACATTACTAACATTTTAAACTGTAAGTCAGTTTAAGGTGGTGAAAACAGTCTAACAGGGAGTTTTACATATTATTGGATGTTCAGTGAGGATTTTAATTTAACACTGTCAAAGGTCATAGAATAGTGACTATTCTGGAAAAAACTAATTCTAATATCTGAAAACTTTTAACTGTTTAGTCAAGGTAGACCATGCATAAAATACCAGTTACTATGACTTAATTTGCAATTTCTGGAAAATTCACTTATTTAAGGAGTGCAAATACATAGACTAGCTGAGGGAGCTACTGACAGCTGACAGCTACTAAGGCAAAAAAAGTCCACTGTCGTTAGGAGTGTGGTCCCCGGTAGGTTGGCCACGCCCCATGGACGGCCCCACATCCATGCAGATATGGGACGCTGGAGGTTATAACAATAACAACGACAAAAAGGATAAGAAGTTAGGTAGGGATTAGGATAGGAATAGAGTAAATTGATCAAAACACACTATGTGCACGTACAAAGTTATCAAAGAATAAAAATACATATTTTTTAAAATATCCATGGGCTGGGAGACAGCTCAGACAATTAGCAACAAGGATCTGAGTTGATTCCTAGAACCGTAAAATGTTAGGTATGGGGCACACTTGTAATCCCAGCACTAGGGAGAGACAGGAGGATCTCTGGGGTTCATTGGCCAGCCAGCCTAGCCTACTTGGTTAGTTCCAGACAATGAATGATCCTGCACGGAGCAGGCAGACAGTGTTTCTAAAGATGATACTGAGAGTTGTCCTCTAGCCTCCGCATATATTTGCACACAATGCAACCCACCTACCCACATAAAAAATGCACAAAAATAAAAGAAAATAAACTGCAGTGTGTTAAAGTTATGTTCAGTGATGATATAAAACAATGATTATATAGGCTCATATTTATATTGTGATGCATTGAAGGAGCCAAATCCACAATGAATACACAACAAAAATCTATCAAACATTGTAAGTAACAAGCTACTGCTTTGGGGGATGAATTTGGCTCCCTTTATATGCTGTAAATAACTCAAGGATATAACAATACTTCATTCTTTGTTTGGTTCTTTCAGGACAGGGTTTCTCTACGTAACCTTGAATCTCCTGGAACTAGTAGCTCTGTAGCCCAGGCTGGCCTTGAACTCATAGAGATCCGCCTGCCCTGCCTCTGCCACCCTAGCGCTGGGATTAAAGATAGGCATAGGCGCCTAATGCTTCATCCTTACTATTACTTCCATCTAGAAACTGGTTATTAATAAGCAAACCTTACCTTATGTGATAATGAACTTCTTCTAGAAGATACATTTGGTTTCACTACTAAATATAGCACGAGATTGACACCAGTCACAAAAGCAGAACAAGTGCACAACCAGGTCAAGTGAGTTTCCAATATGGAGAAGTTATCCACGAAGACGGATGGAATAAAAATGCTTAGGACAATTGAAAATATGCACAGAAGATTGGTATACAGAAGTCTCTTGATGTCAGTATCTTTCATGGTGTTTTCTTAGGTCGCTATCTAGTAGAAAAAGATTAAGAAAAACATGTAACAATGATTTTTTCCCCATTTCCCAAACACTTCAATATTCTAAAGATAAACCATGTACTAATAATTTTCTATGGGCAATATATTTGTTTCAAAGCACAGAACACACACTGATATACTGTTACTTTAGATTTTTTAACACGATACAAGTATCTTTCAGAGCCTTAAAAAAATCAGTAAAAATTTAAATACTCATGAGTGGTTTCGGCAAAGAGGGCATGTATTAGAGACAATTAAGGAACTAATTTTACCTTTTTTTGGCCAAAATCAGGAAAATGCAATCACTTTAGCTCCTAAATGCCAACCAAGTATACACTTGGCCATGCAAATGGTGGCGAGTACGGTAGTTAGATGGACATTATGTTAAACTAACGGCTCCCGAAGTGCTTCAAAAAACAAATAACACTGTCATCGACTCTAAATTCTAGTCAAAAGCAGAACTTGAGTAGGAGGAGGAACAAACGTTTATGGTCTCTAAATTCGTATATTTGACCTAACTGGCTGTTTATACGTTATACTGGTTAAAATTAAGAAAAAACTTAAAGTAATACATATTACATTGTGGAGAAAATCCCGCCCAAACAGAAACATCCACCGTTCGGGCATTGTTCTATCAGCCCTCAATTAATTTACACCGTCGTTTCCAAAGGCAGATATGATACTGATTAAGCAAACTGGACTAACAAGTTAGCAGGCACGGCCAAGGCTACACACACTAAAGTTGTTTCAAGCACAGTCTCTTCAACACGAAGATAACCTTCAGGGGTACGAAAAAGAACGTGGAGGAAAGACTTGGGGAAAGCCTTTTCCCCAAGAAAAGAAAGCAAAAAAAAAAAAAAAGACTTGGGGAAAGTTTCTGAGACTCTTCCCACCAGTGGAGGGGTCGGGCAGGTGGAGGATCAGGAATCCATCCTCTGAGTAGAGAGCGCTTCTGGGCCACCTGCAAATTCTGATCTAACATAGCGAGCGGTACACAAACGCCAAGGCTCGTTGAATGGAGCCCTTCCTCGGACACTGGCGGACCCTGGGTTCTCCAGCACTCCACACCTGGAAAGCCACCAACTGCAGTCGGATCCGAAGTGAGTCGGAAGGCGCGGCAGCTCCCGAGCCCTCCTACGCAGCCTTTGCCCGGGTACGCACCGCAGCTCAACCCCACCCAGGGTGGCTCGAGATGCTGCCCCAACCTCGGATGGCGGGAGTGTGGGCAACTGAGGGGCGTCAGCAGAGAGAGAGCCCGTGCTGCCCACCCGGGTGACCTGAGAGGCAGAGGGTCTGTCCCGTGGACAGACGCGGGGACAGAGAGGGTCCGGTCCGCGCACGGACATTCCCGGGTCCGCAGGTCGCGGGGCGCTCCGGAGGCTACTGCGGCAGTCGGCCGAGAGTCCTGCACCGGCCCCCGGCGAGCGCGAGGGGCACGCCGCCGGCTTACCTAACTCTCCCGCCCGCCGCCACAAGGAAGGGGACGCCACCGCCTCCCACCCTCCTCAGGCGCGATGGGCTGCCATGGCCCTCGCGCAGGCGCAGACCCAGGAGGTGGGGATTCCCAAGTCCACAGCCAATCGTTGGAGAAGAGGGGTGGAACAACGAAAGAAGCCCCGCCCATCGGCTCTCGTTTGACCCTCCCGCGGCTTTCCGGGTGCGGGATAGGCTGGAGCGGGATGCTGAGAGCGGAAACGGACTGACGTAGCCGGAAGGGGAAGCCTTCTCCGGCTGTGTTGTTGTCTTTTAGCCGCTGCTCCTGCTTTGGCGGTTGAGGGGACCGTTCGTGGAAGGATGGTGTGCGAAAAATGTAAGTTAAGGGCTGCTTCTGTAGGAGGAGAAGGCCGGAGGGACCTGAAGAAATTCTCTTGGGGTCTTGACCTTTGTTTTTTCTCCTGCGGGGCTGTGCTGGTAACCTTTGTCTTCCGTGCCCCGCTGTCATTCTTGCCTGTCCCTGGGACTGAGTAGTTCTATGCTTTGTGTTCAGAATGGTCTCAGTTCTGCATCTCTGCTTGTTTCTGTTGCTCCCATCCCGTCCTTCTTCCAGGATCCGTTCAATTACAACTTCTTGACTGTTCCAAGAGGGTTCAAATGGGTCTTCAAAATCTTTCAGTAGCATCGAGAGTTTGCCAGGTGTAGCAAGTATAAATTTCAGGCTTTCAGTTACATTTTAAGATTATAAACAACAAATCGCTTCTAGTACTATTACAATGTCCCTATAGTATGTGAGTCTAAAAGTGCAATATTTAATACAGGTTAAGTTTAATTGCATATTTTGTACCGTCCCGTCCATTCTTTTCATTAATACCCACAGCATTGGGTCAGGAGAAGAAGAAAGTCTCAAAATCGCCAAAGAAATATGTGTATTTCATATTCTGGCTTTCAGAAAGGATTTTTTTTAACCCTTTTAGTTCTAATGAAACCCTTGAAATTTGTTGAAAACTTTTTTTTTTTTTGATCGGGTTTCTCTGTAGCTTTGGATCCTGTCCTGGAACTAGCTCTGTAGACCAGGCTAGCCTCGAACTCACAGAGATCCGCTTGTGTTTGCCTCCTGAGTGCTGGGATTAAAAGCGTGCGCCATCTCTGCCCGGCCATTTGTGATTCTTCTTATGCTGTTAAGTGCTTTGTCCCACCAGACATTGAGAATAGTAGGAAATTGTGAGTTAATATCTCCAAGGAATATAAAAATTTTGAGAATCCGAGGTCCGTTGTGGTATTAACATAAAATGCATATACTTTGGACTTTATTGTGTGCCATAAAAGATTATTTCCTCCTCCCACTATTTACTTCTCTGCTCTTCTGAAAAAATATCTGGTGTTTTATTATTTTTAACCTCCTAGTTTGTCTGTTCATCACATTCACCCTGCAAGTAAAATAAAATTATGCTCAAAAGCCATAATGTCAGGCAACCACAATTCTGTCTTTCCTTGTGTCATAAATTAGTCCAAAAGTTGTTGTCTGCAGAGTTTTAGAGTTACTTCTGACAGCTTTCTAAGTACGAACTGGTATTCCGTGCTACTAAAAGAACGTTTAAACTTTGACCAGTCATTTTCAGTTACTAAGTTCCAGGGAGTTTTTTGTTTTGTATTGTTTTGTTGTTGTTGTTTTTGGTGGGTTTTTTTGGTTTTTGGTTTACTTTATTTCTCTGGCTCCATAAATCTTTGGGAAATGTTTGGCCTCAGTTAGCACGTCCATACCATTGAGTATCAAATTCACTTCTCCACCCTCACCTTTTCCCTACTTAAGCAGTAGGCAGTACCTTTAACTATTTTGGGTGTCTGAGACCCTCTCCAGAAGAGGCCCTGGCTTATCTTTCCAGCCTCATTTTCACCAGCATTTATCCCTTCGCACTTGGTGCTGTTGAATACCCTGAACGTCCCATGCCTTTCCTCAGGATGTGTCCTTTAGCTATGTAGTTTGACTTCATCTTCTTCGTACTTGTATTACCAGGTATGTAAACTGTTTCAATTAGCTCACAATTGTTATACTTTATTTCCCAGCTTATATTTTTACTGAAGGGTTCTTCACTTGTTTTAAAGTCTCGGATCACTTTGAAGATCTGATAAACTAAAGATTCTTAACAAGAAAAAGATGGAAATAGACATGTTAGGTTTGTGTACCAATCCACCTGGGTTATTTATTTCCTATGGTCTACCTACAAGCTCTTAAGAAACTAGTGAACTTGGTTTAAGCCCCCTGAAATCTAGATTCAAGGCTTTATTTTCATCAGTACCTTGTGTAGTGTTTTGTACATAGTAGGTAATTAGGAAATGTTGAAGTTTGTCAGAATTGTTTAAAATATAAACAGCAAGAGCATCTTATTGCACAATAAACCTTCTTTGGAATCAATGGTTATCCATTGCCCACAGCTACTATCTTACGTCTTCATTCCCTGGTTTCTACCCCAGCATTAGTAGACTCCTACTGTAATCCGACATAATATCACTATGAACCTCAGGAATGATAGAGTATATTTATTATTTTAAAATTAGAAAAGAAATGGGTTTGTTATTTTATTCCCACATGGTATATTTATTAGATATGAATTCTACTTTCCTTTTGCTATCTTGCTATAACAGGTGAAAAGAAACTCGGCAGAGTTATCACTCCAGATACATGGAAAGATGGTGCACGGAATACCACAGGTATTGTTTCCTATTAGGAAATAGGAATTGGGGCTGGAGAGATGGCTCAGCAGTTAACAACACTGGCTGCTCTTTCAGAGGACCCAGGTTCAATTTCCAGCACCCACATGGCAGCTCACAACTATGTTGTGGACTCCAGTTCCAGGGGAGTCACACAGACACCCTCACACAGACATACATGCAGGCAAAACACCAATGCACATAAAATAAAAATAAATTTATAAAAAAAGGCAGTAAGAACTGGATCAGATACTTATGGACACTGCTTTAGTGTTTCACTATTAGCAAAGTGAAATGAAATTTATGTCATCTGTTAAACCACTAAAGAGTACTGGATTTCCCCTTGTGATTTTATATCTTCTTTTTCATCGTCTGAGTTACGCGTATGGATTCCTAATATAGTCAAGAAGTGTAAAATTTATATTATTTAACATATGTTAAATGCACAGAAGTAAATTTATATGTATGCACTTTTTTTTTAATATATAGAAAGTGGTGGAAGGAAGCTGAATGAAAACAAAGCTTTGACTTCAAAAAAAGCAAGGTAGGTGAGAACATACCCAGGGCAGTCATAAAGTTGACTATTGAAATAGCAAGCCTACTGGAATGAACTTTAGCTTGATCCCCTTGTGGCCGAGTTAGGCAGTGCTGGCATACACACATACTGTCTGTTATAAGCTGTTCCTCTACCCTATACAATATGTGAAGATGTTAGTGCTACTTTCTGTTATTTTACTAGAAAAAATGATTTTTATTTTATCTACTTGTTAATTTGCCTACAAATCAAAGGTACCAAAGAAGTGTGGGAAAGTCATAAGCTTTGGAGTTGGACCTGAGTTTGAACCCTGTCTCCAAAAAACAAGCTAACAAACAAAAAGCATATACAGCAAAGGATATTTTCAAGGGTGGCAGGAACCCAATGTTTTTCTGTATTCAGTCTATGCTATAAAAATAGAGATGTTACAGGTACAAAGAAAATGTGGGTCATTGCCAAAGCACTGCTTTGAGAGTCTGTCTCTCTGTGGTCATATGACCTGGAGTTTCTTACCCTTTCTCAACTGTACCTTTTCATCTGAGAATGAGAACAAAATGTCTCCCATCTTCAAAAGAAGATTTTGACACCGTACTTCATTATATTCAGTTAAATTTTTGCATGAGTACTGCTATCCCATTTTTTTGCTTCCTTTTACCACACTAAGACATTCTTAGCCAGAATGATCGTCTAGAAGGTCATTAATTCCTTTGCTTAAAGCCTTCCATTGGTTTCCTGTAGAATAGAATCTAATTTCTTTACCATGCTTAGAAGGTCCTCCATGATATAGCATCTTTTTCTTCTGACTTCCCAGTATGCCACACTCCTCCTCATTAGCCATGTAGCCTCATTAAATTTGCCAATCCCACTGTCACCTAAAGCAGGTTATGTTTGCACTCGGAGGTTCCTCCTGGCTCGTTGTGACTTGTTACTTGACTGAGATGTGAGCTTCTGGTGCAGGGTCCTTAGCCAGTATTTATCTCCTCTCCACCTCAGCATCCAGCTGGTTCTCTTTGTCACCCTCACTGCTTATCTGAAAAACTTGTTTTACTGGACTGTTTTTCTCCTTGTTCACTCCTATATTTGTTTGATGAGGGCGGGGAATTTTTAATGTTCATCTTTGATAGTTAGAACAGTAAGTACTCAGTAGATAATTGTTAAATGAATAAGTAGCCATTGTGTGGCATCATCCCAATGATTTAAAGAAATAATAAAGCTTTTACTTTATAAAGTGACTGCTACATAGCAGGTGCTTATTAGCAACTTGATTTTTTTAAAAAAAGCAGCATAATGGACCTAATGTTCAGCACAGCATTGTATTGTGTATTGTTGGTTGACTTGGTGTTTTCTGTCATTCAGGTTTTACTAGTTATTTATACGAATTGTGCAACTTTATATCCCTTCAATTCCTGCAGGCTTATACATTTTTCTTCCTTCTGAACCGTGGCTGTTACTTGTGACTGCCCTCACTAGCTCATTGTAGAAAGTGTGCTACCTACCTTCCATTGAATTCCCAGTGCTGTTATAAGAAGCAGGAAACTGGGAGGCTGGAGAAATGACTCAGTGGTTCAGAGCACTGCTTTTCCAGAGGACCTGAGTTCAATTTAGTCATCAAAAGACCCACAACCACCTCTGATTCCAATTCCAGGGCATCCGCTGCCTCTTCTGGCCTCAACAGCACATTCACCAGCCGCACGCAAACACACACATAGACAGAATTTAAAAAAGATAATAGCATCTCTAAAGAGAAAGAAAGAAAACAAATCTACCAGTTCATCCTAAGAATTCGGAGAGTTAAAATGTCATCTTAAGATATAACAGTATGGTTTGAGAAAAGGACTCCAAGCATTCTTATTCTTGTGGGAG